GTCTCGTCCCTTCACCTGATGAAGGCCGCTTGTGTTGTGGCCGAAACGTCGTGAGAATATTATTGTTATTGTATTTTATCAATGTATTATTTTATTCTCATTCTACATGACTTTACCGAAAGAACCAAAGAAAATGTATGCACTGTCCTTGAAATGGATTGATCCACACCCGAGACAGGTTTCTTTAGAGCCTCGTCTCACATGGTGTTGGACCAGAAGACGCCAAAAGGCGCACAACTCAAAGACAATGCACCATCAGAGTATGAGAGCTCGGGGTAAGCATTCACACCATTGGAAACCTCATTTGCCAGTAACAAAATATGATGACTCCTTGTAAAAAAAGGTGTCAGTTTTGTTGCCAGATAAAAGGGTAAAAAACAATTATCATATTTTGTTACTGGCAAATGAGGTTTCCAATGGTGTAAATGCTTACCCCGAGCTCTCATACTCTGATGGTGCATTGTCTTTGAGTTGTGCGCCTTTTGGCGTCTTCTGGTCCAACACCATGTGAGACGAGGCTCTAAAGAAAGCTGTCTCGGGTGTGGACCAATCAATTTCAAGGACAGTGCATACATTATCAGAGTTGTTTTTTTTGTTTGCGTTCTGGCCGCAGGTATTGTGGTCAATGTAAACATGACTCCTTGTAAAAAAGGTGTCAGTTTTGTTGCCAGATAAAAGGGTAAAAAAAACAATTATCATATTTTGTTACTGGCAAATGAAGTTTCTAATGGTGTGGTGGAAGATTTGAGGCCCCAATGTTTCTGGGTCTGATTGGGACGCCGGCCGGACCAGTCGAGGCCTACCATGGAGGAGTCACTACACCCGGAACATTACTTACTATATGCACAAAAAAATGGGTTGCCACAAACATCTACACCCACACCTTCACTCACCTTCATCATCAATGCCAAGGTCAGGGAAGTCACTTGACGCGACGAATCAACCTCCAGACGGATGCCTTCCTTTCGCAGGACTACCCAAGATGAGAGAGGTGCATCACCATGCGACGGAGCTACAGCTACGCAGCACGGTTACCTGGGCACCGGCCTGTACGATGCTCCCACGGTGATAAGACACCCACCGTGTACAAGACCACGAGACTGCAAGTAAAATTACACTCCTTTTGTCCCAGAGGTTGTTCGTCGGTTGTCCGGATGTTATAGTTACAAGGCCCGATTGACCCCTTTGTATTTACCATCTTGCCTCATGGTTATTTACTACTGTCTTAATCTCTGTTCTGTATACACTTACACACACAAAGTAACAGGGCTCAAGTTGAGTTAACATTGAGTTATTGACCAACCGAAGGGACTTTTTCCCTCAGCCATTCAAGGTTACCCCGAATTCGTTGGATTTGTACAGGTTGTGCAAGCCGAGGATGACTTTTTCTTCAGGGGGAGGGTGATGTAGTACAAATATTGATTTACAGCTTTTGTGACTGCAGGGATTCATATTCTTGGGTCTTTCGGTAAAGTCACGTAGAAGGGAAACAATAAAATAATAAAAATATAAAACAATATTTTCACCGAAAGAACCAAGAATATGTAGTACAAATACTTACGTGATCCAAGGTTCCTGTGTGAGGATGACGTCACGAGGGAAAGGAGAAGTTGGGGCGAAAAAGATAGGGAACACCCCAGAGGGAGAGAGGTGACGTAACCGGAAGACACGGCGCTTCTCGGTGGGAATCGCAGTAGTGCTCCCTGACTTCGACCGGTGGACTCATTACATAAGTATAAAACGTTGAGTTATATATAGTATCAATACGACTGCATGTTTAAATAGCACGTGGTTCAGGTTTCATATTCTTGGTTCTTTCGGTAAAGTCACATAGAAGGGAAACAATAAAATAATAAAAATATAAAACATTAAAATTATCACGACGTTTCGACTGCAACACAAGCAGTCATCATCAGGTGTGAAAACCACAGCCAGAAAATTTGAAAAAAGTGGCGTTTTTTTAACGTTAGCACCACGGAGAGCGATTTGACAGTTTGTTCAGATGGACGAGTCCATCTATGTTCGGCAAAGAGGAGGGGGGGGAGACGGAAAATAATGGATTCGGTCTGAAAGCCACCTTAAGCGTGATCAACCAATTAAGACCTGAAATGGTTTATCAAATCTTTCCAATGATTGCTAAGCCAGAATCCATCTTCTAGGTTGAAATTGTCTCTGTGTTTGTATATGTGGATAGCCTCATGAACGAATCTCTCATGGTAGCCAGATGGCTTGCAAAGAACCTCTGTCTTGGAGAAGTCAATGTCATGTGAGCCTACTGAATTATAAGTGATCTGCCACGGCCAAGGTGTTGGTCCTACCGTGTTTCAGTAATTGTTATTTGGTTATCCTGTTGTATTAAGAATAAACGTGTTACTCCAAGTTCAAGTGTGCGCCTTTGTGCAACCCAATCCATATTCATAAATAATAATAAGTACAATATGCATACATTTGCATTATCCAATTTATACATTCTTACATGCATAGCATTTATTGTCGTCATCATACAAATGTTTTTTAATCGAAGACCAAATGTTATTTCAACGACATATACATTGAATCATTAATGTCCACTGAATATTGTACACTTGATAATAATGATGTATTTAATGTGCGCTACTTCCAATAACATGGATCATAAAAATGCACAACTGTAGACAATGCAACATAAACCAAAAAGTGAAGAAGCATGAAGCGATGCATTCTCTCTGTTACACTGAGAGACAGGGGAACACATGGCGTAAATAAAAATGGAGGTTAATTATGTAATCTAAACTTGATTTGAGGCTTTCGTGACTGCAGGAATTACTCTTTGGTTCTTTAGGTAGTCACGTAGAAAGAAAATAAATTAAATAATAGAATACGACGTTTCGATTCCAATACAAGCAATCGTCATCAGGTAGAACTAAATTTGAGAGAGACAAAACACAGGCACGGAGACACACAGACACACAAGCAGAGAGAGACAGAGACACAGAGAGAGACACAACATAGACACAGACCCTTGCTTGTGTTGCAATCGAAACGTCGTATTCTATTTTATTTATTTTCTTTCTAAGTGACTTTACCGAAAGAACCAAAGAATAATTCAAACTGTTTGGAAGTGTAAGTGTGCTTGGGCAGGATATGTCATAAGAGGGGATGATGGACCATGGTCAATAGCAATGACGAGGCAGTAGCCAAACAATGGAAGAAATTCGAGAGTACATTCAGATGGGGTACAAGCAACGAGTGTGCAGGTACGAGGTGGATTGTGAGATCGTAGAATCTTGACAGATGCTGACGGCTTGGGGAAGTACAGTACATTGATCATGGATGATAATGCTGATGAATATTACTCCACAATAATTTCCTTATTCTTGGTTCTTTCGGTAAAGTCACGTAGAAGGGAAACAATAAAATAATAAAAATATAAAACAATAACATTATCACGACGTTTCAACTGCAACACAAACAATCATCATCAGGTTGTTTCCCTTCTATGTGACTTTACCGAAAGAACCAAGAATAAGTTACAAACGGTTTAATGATCTATCAAGTTTTACCAATCATTTTATAAATGATCTAGGTGCCCTGCACCTGGTGTATGGACAACATCGAGACGATAGTTGAATTCATCCCAAACGCCTCTCAAAGTGACTTCTTCTACGAAGTCACCGCTGCCGTGATTCTGTTGTTTAGGTCATCTAGATTAGTCACTAATGGTGGCACAAAAACATGGTCTTTTGTGCCACCATGCTCATTGACATTGGCGGATCAATGCCAAAACGCCATTGAAACGCACGCTGCACCGCAAGTACGGATTCAGTTTGCTGAACTGCAGAACGCAAAACGTCGTGTTGCGGGGTCGCCATCTTACGAATGACTGAGGCTAGGGGCTGTTTGTGCGCTGGGAGAGGCATCTAGCGGTAATCAATTGAAACTCTATACCCTGCCCTTTCAAGTGGTAAGAGTTTCATTCATGGGCAGTTCGTGGTTGCAGAGCTATAGCGATTTCAAATCTGGTCCAACTTTTTTAAACACCCTGTATTGTACAACATTTCATGATACCATGCTCCTAAAACACGTGCACATCGACCCGTGGTTAAGTGCAAATTCGTCTTACAATTTTATTGAGTTCTCTTCATATGCTGGACTTGGCCAACTCCAAATATCGGACTAAAAACGTTTTATTTCGCACCGTTGGCTTAATCATGCACAAGTGTACACATCCATGTTGTACAACCTCTGTTCAATTAATTTGTAAACATGTTACGTTACATTATGAGCAATGATTCAAATTAAGACAGGTCTCGTATGTGTGTGTGTGTGTTATGTGCGTGTCTCACGTGGCGGAGAGTGCCAACTCAGCTCTACTTGTAGGATATATTTAGAATCATCCGGTGCGTATAAGCTTGTAATAACTTAATATTAACGCATAAAATGTACAAACATACAAAGTTGCACTATCGTGGTTCAAGACGACTGGACCCTTCAGAAAAACCTGGGCTTGACAACTTGTAATCAGTAGAGACATGGTTGTACTTGGAAAATAACAGACCCAATGAACCATGCTAAAATAATTTTCCAATTTCTCATTAACCAGACCAAACTGACGGCTTCCAGAAACCCCTTTCTTTGGAGAGCCAGACAATAATGAGGCTCATGGAATGTCAACTTTTAATTGTCTAAAATACAGCATACCTACTATAATCACCCAGGAACGTCTGTCCTTAAAGCTCGTGACGTCACTCCACATCGACCAGCACCCCTCATTAATATTCATGAGCAGGTGACGTCCTCCAAATGGACACCCCCCCCACCCCTCATGAATAATCATGAGCGGGTGACGTCACTCAATATGGAGTACTCCCCCCCCTCACTAATAATCATGCACAAGTGACGTCACTCCACATCGAACAGCCCCCCTCATTAATAATCATGAGCAGGTTACATCCTCCACATGGACCCCCCCTCATTAATAATCATGAGCAGGTGACATCACTCCACATCGAACAGCCCCCCTCATGAATAATCATGAGCAGGTGACGTCTTCCAAATGGACACCTTCCCCCCATTCATAATAATTAGTGGCTGACGATATTCCACATGGGGGGCCAAGGCGCCTCCTCCCCCCTCCTCGGCGTCAACTTACAACCCTCGCTACAAAGGCAGAACCCTCACGTTCACGCGATCTCCGTAACGCTATTGAGACATCAAAGTAAAAAGGACGTCATGATGAACAAGGGATTATAACCTTCAAATTACATAGGTCTGGGTCACCGCACCCTTACAAATTGCACACGCATTAATGCACTGAATATCACGTCGCGGTCTGCTTTTCGCTTGCAACTTTCAAATTTAATGCAATACACCCGTCCTTGGACGGGAAAAAGGCTAGTTCTATATAATTACTGACACCTCATGCACTCGTCACCGATACAAATAAACATGTAAATAAAAAAATCAAGATACACACTAATGTAAAAATAATAAAGACACTTTAAATATTGTTCATATAATATAGTATACCTAAAACACTGTAATGGTTGCGACAAATACTTTGTACATCACGTAATGTTCATTTATGTACAAAGGACTAGCTTAAGGGTCATTGCTTAATTAATTGTACTGACGTTTCAAGCATGTGATTAGCTTTGGTGAAAAGCATATTTGCATTTTTTTGTTCCAACTTGAATGATAGGTTTGGCTTTTCGCCAAGTTCAGTGCAGTCATACCTCAATGGTAACTTCTGAGAACTCAACACTTAAATTACAACGTGGGGACACTGCTCTGACTGAAGCAAATTACTGTATGTAATCCCTGCCCTCCATACACCTGTCACCCACGCGCCCATGCTTACCAAGCGCTCTGCTAGTCGGTAGCTACGATGATACCTTAAATATTAACAAGCAGAACGTGTCACATGCAGAATATTAATGGAGCGTTTGTTCACACGGTGCCACTGTTTCCATTTTCTTTGTACCTCTGTGTGGGCTTTCCTTCATTCATGGTGGTCATTTCTTCACTGGTTTGATTGACACGTGACCGCCTACAAACCTTTTTTATATTTCTCCTGAAATGCGAAGGAGGGGGCAAAGACACCGACGTTAAATACGTGAAGGCAAAATGGGTGTAAGAAGCTAATGTGCAAATACAGTTGCAGAACAATAACCATTGCTGCAATGTTATTTGGTTGAATAAACGATGCAGGAATCTCTCGATATACGGACCACCTTTTAGTAACAGATACGTTACTGAAAGGTGGTCGGTAAAGCACATTTTCTATACCGAACCATATTTCCCCATTGACTTTCATGATATCATTCTAGATGCATTCCTACGGAAAATATTTTGGGTCCCAAAAGGTAAAAATCTTACTGAGCAACACAGGACACATTTTTAAGCACATTTAGGGGAAAATCGATTCTTATGATAAAATATCAAGAATACCCAAAATATGTTGCAGGAAACCAATACAGTATGAAGAGCATGCAGACACCACATGGAGCAGTATAAAATGCACACTAAGGACAATCGACAGACCATGCATTGTTCGATTTTTCTCTGGAAAAAATATCATTTGATAAGAAATTCCATAAATGCGGATTTAACATGTATATCGAATTTGTTGCCTAATTTATAAGTTATGTTCAATTCCGTATATTGAGTTGCCATATAAGGTGGGATGACTATTGAAAAAGTACATTCATTTATAAATTAGGCTACATTTGCATCTAGGAACCCATTCCTGTGATGCACATCCTCATCTTATTCATTTACAAGTAACATTTGCATCTTTGTCAATGTTTTGTTCATTTGGTTTTGCCTCCAAGAATATACATTGTACCCCAGGTCTCATGGCCCGGCCAAGTGGCGTCACGTTTGTCTGATTGTGGCGAGGCCTATCCGGTACTCCCTCGTTATTCGCGAGGGATACATTTCCGGAGATGCTCGTGAATAACAGATCATATATTTTTAATGATTGACCTTAAATAAATGTATTCATAAGCTATTTAATAAATGAACATCATAACACAATAAATTGGTTACAACAATCATAAAGTAAATAAAAACAGGTCCCTGCAGGGTGGGCTGGTAGGAACATTGGCAAAGTAACGTCACGGTGCCTTCGAACTTCGCCTCGCAAATGGTATTCGGCTGTGGGCTGTGTGTGAATTTGCCACATCTCCAAAAGCGAAGTTCGCAAATGAGATAATGTGACTCCCAAATGTTGGGTGCAATAAGACATATCAAGTCTCTGCGCTGTCTATTGCTGATTTTACACCCAACAGCACGAGATTTCACTTCGTTAAAGTATTGAAAGGGGACGGACGGACGCACACATTAATCTATTGCAGGCTGGTACACTCAGTTTACAACTTCGTTCCTACCAGTAATAGATGTTAAAGCATTAAATAATAGTTTATAAATGAACTTACCTTCATCTCATAACTTTCTCATCATATTCTTGGTTCTTTCGGTAAAGTCACGTTGAAGGGAAACAATAAAATAATAAAATATATATGAAACAATACAATTCTCACGACGTTTCGACTGCAACACAAGCAGTCATCATCAGGTGTGAAAACCAACGGCAAGAACATTTGAAATAAGTGGCGGTTTGTATTCATTTATTTATTTTAAAACGTTAGTGCCACGGATAGCGATTTGATAGTTTGTTTAGATGGACGAGTCCATCTATGATCGGAAAAGAGGGGGGAGACGAAAAATTAATGTATGCTGTCTGAAAGCCACCGTAAGCGTGAACAATCAATTAAGACCCGAAATGGTTTATCAAATCCTTCCAAAGATTGCTAAGCCAGAATCCATCTTCTCAGTTGAAATTGTCTCTGTGTTTGTATATGTGGATAGCCTCATGAACGAATCTATCATGAACACAAAGCAGACCTTAAACACGGTAGGCCCAACACCTCGGCCGTGGCAGATCACTGTTATAATTCAGTAGGCTCACATGACATTGACTTCTCCAAGACAGAGGTTCTTTGCAAGCCATCTGGCTACCATGAGAGATTCGTTCATGAGGCTATCCACATATACAAACACAGAAACAATTTCAACCGAGAAGATGGATTCTGGCTTAGCAATCATTGGAAGGATTTGATAAACCATTTTGGGTCTTAATTGATTGTTCATGCTTACGGTGGCTTTCAGACAGCATACATTAATTTTTTGTCTCCCCCCTCCTCTTTTCCGAACATAGATGGACTCGTCCATCTAAACAAACTATCACATCGCAATCCGTGGCGCTAACGTTTTAAAATAAATAAATGAATACAAACCGCAACTTATTTCAAATGTTCTTGCCGTTGGTTTTCACACCTGATGATGACTGCTTGTGTTGCAGTCGAAACGTCGTGAGAATTTTATTGTTTTATATATATTTTATTATTTTATTGTTTCCCTTCAACGTGACTTTACCGAAAGAACCAAGAATATGAATCACTGGAGTCACGAAAGCTTTAGATCAAAATGTATCTCATCACTTTCTTTCTCTCTCTTTATGCAGTCGTGTAGAGTTCCAGATACGATTTGCAGATAGCAAATTCGTGAATAACGAGGGAATACTGTATAGAGTTATTTGCTTAAATATTTATTTTGTAGTGAAAGGTGAGAAGATGCAATTTCACCGATGTGTATCAACGTTGTTACAAGAAAAGTCTCCTTTTCATTTGCAAGGACAATGGGCATGCTGTATCCAGAGTGATCCTGGGATTAACATATGATAAAGTCGAGCCTTGGAGGCGTTAAATCATTCTGCTGCTATTGTGGATGGATGTGTGTTTCTCAAGCACAGAGTGCTGTTGTGTTTTTCTGCAAGCATTATTATGAATTGATAAAGGGCATGTGATCAAATTGCACATTCAGACAATAGCTGTGTCTCATTGAGTCTCAAAGCTTTTGCAAGAGGGTCCTAAATTGGGTATATACATTCTGGTCTTCTATAACTCGTGTTTTCATAAAGGAAATTGGATATGCCAATAATGTATTAGGGAACATATTTTTATAATGCGGATGTGAATTGGATATAACGCGATTGGGTGAATAAAACTACAGTACGCGAGTAGCAATAAGCGGTTGTACGGCTCCCTCTGCGCAGCATCACACAAGGCAGGATGCTGCTAGATGCTTCTAGATCATACCCACATGCCTCAGTCTTTGTTCAGCCTATGTACGCATCTTACGTGTTATATAAAGACCTGCATCTGTATGTCTCAAAAACCTCTAGGGTACTTGCCGACATAGTAGAAAGCTGAAATTTGGTACACAGGTAGCTTTTCGGACACAACACGAAAAAATCTGAAAATCCGAGGTTTTTCATTTTAAAGCCCCCAAATCACGGTTTTAAGTTCCCCATGAACATGTTTATGCGTGTCACTCGGAAACCGTTCAAAATATAAGATTGCGTTCTTTTTTCGTTTTGTAGTGTGTTTAAAAATTACTCACACTGATATGTTGTAACAAGTCACCTGCTTACACTTTATTCACCTCTTCTTGCACCAGTTGTAGGCACTCATATAACTATCTGTATGGTCACTTAGGTTTAACTTCTCCCCCTCGTATCTACTTTACACCTCACTTATCCTGCACTCCGCAGCTCTGCTCTCAGCGACTCCGCACAAAGCATCTTCGCACACAGCGTCTCTGCACACAGCGTCTCTGCACACAGCATCTTCACACACAGCGTCTCTGCACTCAGCAGCTTCGCACACAGCAGCTCTACAACTCTAGCCCTGCCCTCACCTACGCTCCATCGGACCCGCTCACCCCTCTGTCCCAGGCGGGGAGATTAGCCAACACCCGCCCCGCGACGCGCGAGGGTTGAGGTTCGTTGACGGCTCGAGCGGCAAGATGTCTTCACTCTTGTCCCCAGCAACAACTCCAACTCCGCTCACACACACTCATGCTTATATCACCCCGCTCATCGAGTCCCCACGTGCCTCCACTCAAGCTCTCGTCAAGCCGGCGCCAGCTGTTACATCAATCACCCCTTATCTCCCGTTTCCCTGGCAACACCTCCGGCCTCAGTGTGCACAACCGGTCGACTCCGTTTGCACCCGCTTCTCCCCTTAATTAGGTGGCGGTTTGTCCGTGCAACCACATGTTGCACACGTGCACCTTTTTGCCCTCAGTTGCCCTCGGTTAACTGTGCGCACCGCGTATTTCACTCCTCTACAGTTTCATAGAGCGTTAAAGAACAAAAAAAATTAAAGCAAGAACCATTGTTCTATCTTTTATTGTTTTTGAGATACTTCAGATTCAACTGGATTTTAACGAAAAAAATATGCTTTTAATGATGTGCAAATCTGAATAATTCGAAATCGGTAAAATATAGGAGCTTCCGCTCAAAGAGTATTACGCTCATTAGTTTTTGTTCTTTCTAATAAAAAAAAAATGGAATCTTTAAATTAAGCGGTTTCTAATGGGTAAGTCTTTAAATATAAGAAGTTGAATCGGGTAGTCAACAATTTATGTTTTTTGTGTGGAAAAAAACAATGTTTGGAGTAGTTGTTAGTGTCTGATCATAGATACAAATTGTAAAAAATAATAACATCAGGTTACCATAATTATAATATTTATTGAAAACTTTTGCCTGGCAAATACAGGATTTATGAACTAGTTTATTATAACGTGATTTTTCCATAATGCGGTGTTCTTGAGGAACGCAACTACCGCCACATCATAGGAGAACAAGCTTTATATATGTTGAGGACTAGTTGTGGACGTGACATCACGCTCGCCTCTGGGGGCGATGACGTCACGGGAAGTGACATCATGCACGCCTGGGGGCGGGATGATGTCATGTCCCGCAAGGGTACTTAAAGCAGAGCCCGTGACGTAAGCGGGGTCGTAGCTGGAGACAAGGGTCTGAGTAGGGTGGAACGAAGGGCCAGGGGGCAAGGGGATAGGGATCGGGAACAGCACAGCGCCAGGGCTGGATGTGGCTGCGCTCCTCGGTCGGCCGTGTTGGCTGAACCCACGGCCGGCGCAGAGGAGATAGCATGGGGCAGCCGGCTGTGACGGGAACCAGTGGGACCTAGCCTAGGACCCCGA